AGCCTTGGCCACTCTTGTTGGTTTAGGCCGCAGATTATATGTCTGAGTCTTTATTCTTCATATGTAATTTAAAAGTAGGCTTTTCTTTGTAAAAACTTCAATTAAATTTCAATAAAGTTAAAGGCATGGCCTCACCATTAATATTTAAAAAAATAAAAAATAAAATAAAAAAAAAAATAAAAATATATGTCAAATATTAGTAAACTATCAGATAAATTAGCATCTAATATCTTACTAATATCTCACAGAAATGTTACCAAAATTTAAAACTTGGACCTGTATTTATTAATATTTTGTATTGAGAATCTGCAATGAATTCTTCTGGCTGGAGCCAATTTACAAAAATTTTTACAAGAGTGAGACTCAAACTACCAGAAACTATCTAAAATAGAAATTTTGATTCATCTGCAATCGAACCTACTAGAGTGCTTAAAACTCACCTAGATTTGATAATATAAAATATTATTAGTTAGAGTACTATATTTAATCTATATAATTGTCTAGAGAGATATTTTTCTGATTGTTTTTCCAAGAGGTAGGCAAGTATTGTCATTATGATGTTGATCAGGTAGACCACAAAGGCAACTATTATTATGTAATATTCTGTATTGTGTTGTATTTTGAGTAGTTGTTATGTGTGTAGTTATCTTATTGTAATTGGATCTAAGAGGGGATCCCTTTGATTCACCAACAATCATTTCACCGAACAATCATTTAGCCAACATCATATAGGATTAGAGTTAAGCAATTCATTGGTTGCAGGTATATATTTTTACTAAATTTCACCTAATATGATGTCGTCAAAATAAGCTGTCGGTAAAGTGATTGTCAATGAATCAATATGGACCCATCTAAAAGGTATATGATTTTGCTATTACTATTGTATAAGTTTTGTACAGTATGGTATCCATAATTGGTCATATATGTTCTGTGATAATTGTAGTAGTAGTTAGATTATTGTTTTTGTTGCAGTTTGAGTAGAGTCTGAATATTCTCTTATAGTTTGTATGATGGATTATATATATTGTTGTTTTTGACTAAAGTATAGTTGAGTAATTGGCATTTTTTGCTAATCTGTTAGCTAAGTTATTAAAGTTATTATCATAAACTTTTATTGGAAAATCACTCTGACATTTTCCGATCGGGCTAATTTTAGTGCTTATTTGCATGTAAAATTTTTTTGCCTTTATTCAAACGTTCATTTGATAAGCAAAATATGATTTACATGTAAATAAATACTATTTATTCCCCGCTTCGCGGGGAATAAATGCGTTATTCTCCTACTTTATTAATTGACGGCCGGAGGCTATTTCCCTACTGAGTTTAAAAATAAATCATTGCAAAAATAACACGTAAATCCCATAAAAATAGGGATGGGAAAGTTTGGTTTGGTTCGGTTTGGTTTAATTCAAATTTGATTGATGCATGATCAGCATAAGTAAGAATTTATATTAGATCGGACCAAACTTCCCCATCCCTACATAAAAAACAATTAATAAGGTGGGGAATAAGAACTGGTATATGTTGGTTTAAAATGTTCTGAATTATCCCTATCAGAAAATGTCAGGGTGATTTTCCCAATGATCTACAGTTACAGTTAGAGTATATAGATTAAAGTATGATAAAGTATGATAAAGTATGATAAAGTATGATTTTGCTGTGTACCCACCCAGTATTGTACATATATCTTTAATCAAAATAGTAAAATTTTCTATTAATTTTTTTGTTTTATGGTTTTTAGGAAGAGTCAAGTCGACCAAACTCGTAAAGACAAAAAAATTATAATATTATTACTATGTAAAGGCATCTTCTATGAAGAATTAGAAATTATGATAAAATTAGAGGCGGTTGCGCCACTCTAAACAACCATAATTATCTTTTAAAAGACAAATTTTGTAAAGGTTTCTTGATAATATAATCAAATTGGGCAAAAATTTTTCATCGCATTAAATCAGATAGTTATCAAAAAAACTGTTATTTAAAGTTTTATTACAAGTCAATTTACAAATATTTCTGTATATATATTTATTTAAAAAAATTTAAATTCAAAATCTTATGCAGTACAAAAAAAAAATTCGATATCTTATACAGTACAAAAAAAATTCAAAATCTTGTACAGTACAAAAAAATAATTTAAATACATAATACATCTATTTTTTACAACACATCATGTTTGTTAAAATCTTGACTCTTTGGTTTTCTTCGATTACCACGCCCTCTTGTCGAAGATTCGGCATCTTCAGAGTGACGTTGACCTCCTGAAGCATTACTATTTCCTTGATTCTGACCTCTTGGAACATTGTTATGTCCCTTATGAAACCCTCTACTTCCTCTAGAACCTCTAGAACTATGAGATCCTCTATTAGATGATGTATTAGATGATGAGCTATTGTCAGGACCATCCACATTCTGATGAGAAACATTTTGTTCCTTATGCTTGAGATTTCTGTTTCTTTGAAAACGTTTTGAGGTATTTTGGTTTTGATTGTTCATTATTTGTTTTATTCCCTACATAATATTCACAATTTAAATACATTAGTAATTATAACAAAACAAAAATAACTTCAAATACGATTTTTAATAAGCAATCAAATTACCTCAACTTTTTCAAAAACAAATCGGTAAGCTTCGAAAGAATGGCATGTCATCAAACTTTCTGGGAAAAAGTCATCGACTAATTCTTCTGAAATTTGTGCTGACCACAAGTTCAATGAACCATCCTTTAAATAAGCCCACATTGGATGATCTTCTTTGATTGATTCTTTCATTAGATATCTGAAAATAAATCTTTTTAATGTGCTAGCGAATGCTTCTGCTGGGATTTTCTTAACTTTCTTATTTTCCTCAACAATAAGGCTATCATCATCCATTGGTTTTAAATCAGTTTCTTCAGAATCAACGTCATTAGTAATATCAAAATCAAGTGCATCAGAAATGTCCTTCTCTAAATCCGATGTTAATGGCTCTGCATATTTGTCATCGACATACGTAATAACTTTGTTAGCAACTTGTTCTTCAATAAGCTCATATAAAGCTACGACATGTTTGAGCCTTAAATCAACTTTTAAGATATTCATAAACAATTCATTATCAACCAAAACAGAAAGTTTTGCCCATTGTTTTACAAATTCACTAATCAAAATTTCGGAATCACTAATTAATTTTCTTTTTACGAAGCAAAGTAAAATTTCCAAACAAGAAAGTAATTTTGATGCGCTTTCAAATGACATCGATTCTAAATTATCCATGGTTGAGGATATTTTTGTAGATGAGGTAGTAGATAAATTAAAAACGTTTGATTTCATGTAATTTGAAATAGGTTTTTGCGGGATTAATACTTTGATATCACTCAGAATTCTCATGTAACCCTTAAATAATTCTAAATGGAAATTAAATTGCTCTAGATATAAGTTTGATTCGTCAATTGTATTGATATGAACTTTACCAAAAACTAATTGACGCGCAAGTTCGGATTCAATTTTTTGTAAATCAAATGCAACGTCATCTCCACGTCCCATTTGTAAATTCCGCTGACTATATTGAAGAAGATCATCATTCCATTCATAATTGATAAAATTATTTGGTTTAGCATTTTCTAGACGAATGGATCTAATATAATGATGTAATGTTTTTTCTGTTTGTGAAGTTGAAGTTACTGTTTCGTTAGAATTAAGCGAAGCTTCATCCAAAAATTTTAATGAAGTCCAGGATTCATAAGGAATTGCCATAACATCTTCCAAAAATTCATTTTGTAATCCAATAAGATATTCTAAAATTGCGCAAAGATATACACCTGAGTTAACTGGTTCGATCAATCCCAAGGCTACACGGGAATCCAGATTTATCCTTGGTTGATCTGGAAGAGGATGACATTGATAATTTTTAACTTTATCAATAATTTCATTCCAAGATTCAGCAAAATCTTCAAACATTGGTCTCAAAATATTATTGTCTGAATATTCAAATTCCATTTCTCCTTCTTCATTATCAATAAATTTTCCAAAAGTTTGTTCCTCAGCCTCATCCCTACTTAATCGATATTCTAACCTTGAAGATAAAATTTGCACAAATCTTACAATCGGTAAAAGGTGCTTTATCAACGATAGTTTTTCAGAATGTTTAAAGAATTGAGCCAAAAACGGATATTTTTTAGAATGCTTATCTTCATCACTCAAATAATGAGCATGAAGACTTTGATAACTAATATCAGATATGAATCTCCACATTTTTGGCAAATGTTCAAGTTGATAATTATTGTCCATTGCTAATGTTTGATTTATTTCTGCTTCGATAATATTGACGTTATCTTGAGACTTATCGGCTTCAGCAAGCTTATTTTGGAAGTTGACTGCCGTTTCAGTGATATTTATAACTTGAGGGGTAACATATTTGTCTTTAAATTCTGTTTCCCATTCATCTCGCTCGGCTGAGGTCTTTAATGAAACCATTTTACATGGTTTTTGAACCATTGAATCCAAAATTGAATGTAAAACCAACGCTAAATTCTCATCTGAAGTATTAAGTATCCTCCTTAGAACCATCCAATCATTCTTTATATGGTCCATACAATACTTTCCAGAATCAGTGGCTATCTTATTATTTTTTTGCAAGAAATCTTTTGCCAGCGGTGCATGTGCCCAAGCTCCGATAATCACATGAACGAATAAATGTAAGATACGATACGAAGTCGGGGACATCATTCTAACTGATTGTGCTGGTTCTTGGTTTATTGGTTCTCCGATATAACCAGTCTGGTTTTTGGCACTTAATGGAATTCTAAGCGGATTATTATCCATTTTTGTTTGACCTTCTGCCGCAACATGGTTTAAACCACCTAAATTAAGAATCATAAATTCATAATTTGTATCTGAAAAAAATCTAAAAGTTTGTAGAGATATATTAATAAAGAACAATGAATTTACCTATTTGCCTTCCACATTCAGGACATGTTCCCGTTCCGTTTGTAAAACCTTATCAAATGTAAAATAATGATTAGCTCTGTAATTAGTTTTAGAACAAAAAATAAGAAAATATCATAAACGTATAAATACCACAATCTCCAATAACATACATGTATCCACATCTGCATGAATATCTAAAAAATTTAATTATTAATTATTAAATATTTGATAATAAAAGACCATAATACGCAATAATATACAATAATATACCTAGTTATCTGACCCCCTCGAAGAACTGCACTCAAAACAATGGATTCTTCGTCTGAAGGAGTGGCTGGAATAAACAATCCAGTACAATAATGTAAGTTCTGTAATAAATTAGCAAGAGGTGACGAATCATGACGAATAGACGCATTTAATGCAATTATATGTCCAATAACAGATTTAATCAATAAATCTTGATTATTAATAGCTTCAGTCAATCTCAAAAGTTTATGTTCATTAGAGATGAGATTTTTGATGGTGGTTTTATAAATTGTTGAAAGATGGTCAACACTTTCAACACTTTCTTGTAAAGTTTTTGCTGTTGATGTTTCATTTTCTGACCATCCGCGTGAAGCTCTGATTGCGTGCAATCTGCTAAATATTAATCCCATTAATGCTAAATGTGATAGATTTGAATTCTTCTTTTTAAACTTTGCAAAAAAGTTCTTTTCAAACGGCCCTTTATTGTTAAAGTTGTGAAGAGATGCAAATGTAGTCTCTAAATTATTATAATCTTCCATCGATCTATATGGATTAAAAGGGAACCTATTTGCTCGATTATTATCCTCCCATGATAAATTTGCTAACCAAGGTAATGTGTATTCCTGAGATTTACAAAATCGTTTTACATCATCCAAGGAGAATTCACAACATCGCCGCAAAGCACGCAAAAAATATATTCTAAGAGAATGGATCAATGGAACTTGCTTATTTACTTCCATATCGTAATTAAGTCGATTGGTTAACTCGGATATATCAATATCTCCCAATTGTGAGTTATTAATTTCTATAGGGTCAGAAATTCTATTGTCGCTATTAGTGTATTCCCAGAATCGATGAACAAATTCCTTAAGGAATGCTATCGAAGCAATTTTATGTAACGTTGCTAATTCTGATCCTGATCCTGATCGTAATAATGCTCCAATAGCATCTTGGAAATATTCTGTTGAAAATTCTAAAGTACAATTTGAGAAAAATGATTTTTGCAAAACATCGCAACATAAAGTTGCCATTAAAGATCCGAGTCCATTATTTGATAAGCAATTATTAATAGCATTCAATCTTGGAGAGAGTGTCCGAACAGTTTTAGGCATTTTAAGTAATCGGAAGAATATATCTTTATTTTTCTCATCTTCTTGTTGAAAGATTTTATGAATTATTATTGACATAAGTGGAAAAGGGTCTTTTGAGAACAATTTGTTGTAAAGGTCTAAACGTATATTCGAAGTAATCGGGAGAATATCAAGACATTTAATCATAAATAATTTCCTTGGAACATAATAATCTTTAACTCCATCTAGAATTTGGAAACCTGTTTTGACAAATTTACTAGTGAAAATTTGTTGCACTTCCCCTGAATATGCCACTTTTACAATTTCTTTAATGGCATCTAATGAAATTACATCAGTGGATATTAAATCACTACATATTTGCAAGAGATGGAAAGACTCTAAATCAGAAGCTTCTGTGAGTTTTGTACAAAGTGATATAATTTTGGTTGCTTCATGTTGCCATTCTGGTAGTTGATTAATTTCTATCGATTCAAGCTCATATAACTTTTGTTCAGCTATTTCATATACAAGGAATTTTTCAAAATGGTGATCCTCCGGATCAATCATTTTACTAACTTTTGAGCACATTTGTGCTAATTGAAACTTCGCAAGAATACTGCTCGAATTATTCCACCAGAAAATGTGTAAGAGTATTGGATTCAACACTTTTTCGAGCCCAAGTAGCCATTTGAAAATAAGAGACATGATTTGAGTTTTCTTTGTCTTCTTATAACCCGGTTCATTTGAACAAATTACTGAGATAAAATCTTCAAAGTATAATTCCCTATTCCATTCTAGTGGTGATGATTTGAGATGTTTGACCGAATTAAAAATATTATTCGCGAATCCCTTATTATAATCCTCGATAACATCACTAAGCAATGTTCCATCGGCATCCAGATTTTCCGGGTCTTCATGAAGTTTGGCAATTTCTTCTTCATAAAGTCTTTTAAAACGATCAATTTGTTTCATAAAATAATAAGAAAATGGAAATTTCAGATCATGGACTCCTCCTGGTAATGAATATATATCTGGTTTTGGTTGTTGTAATAGATCAATATTGATGACGTCTCTATCTGCAAACATCTCCTTCCAGAATGTTGATAATTGTTCTTGCTGCTCATCTTTGAGATGGTTGAGGTTTATAAATGTTTCAATTGCAGAAAATCGTTCAAGTGCGCATAATATTCTTGCTAATGGTTTTCGAATCATTGCTCGAATATGCGTTAACAATGCGGTAACAAATGACGAATGTGGATACAGCGACTTTTTACTGGATGCAACATGATATTGCCAATCTGTTAATGAATCTTCTTGTTCTATCCATTCTTTTGTTCTTGTTTTCAATGCATTGACAAGTTCCTGATTTCCAGGGATTTTTTCGGTTATGTACCTACAAAAGATTTACATAAAATTGATATAATGGAATAATCAAAAAAAAACATTGAAAAACTTACTTTAGATGGTTAACTCCTTTAAGATTAGATGGGTACTTAATGCATAATAAGCACCATAACAATTCTTGTTTCAAAATCTCTTCAAATGGATAAGTTTCTTCAATAATCTCACAAAGACTACCATACAAAAGTGATGATAAAGGTTTTTCTTGTCGAACCAATGTCTCAATTGTAACTTGTTTCCACTTACACATAAAGTTGAAACCTTTCCATCCCACCTGATTATCCCTATGTATGTGAAGTATTATACATACATGCTTAACTATAAAGTTTTCTTGTTCTTGCGACTCTTGAGCTTGTTCCATTTTTGTAAAATACTCTAATCGGTATTGTTCGATCAAAAATTTGGCCAACTTAATACATCCAGCATTAGCGGTAGTAAGATCACATTGTAATACCAACATCGCTTTATTTGGTGAATCGAACCAGAATCGTTTAATTTGATTTTGAAACTCTGCTTCAGTTTTAAAGGTTGATAGTTTAAGAACTTGGCAAGTAAATACGTCTTTAAGACATTTCGCAATGTCTGTATTGATATTCGAAAATGTGTTGATAATAATTTGATACCCTTTAGTCGTCGGCTCCGTATCAAGTAGAGATGAAAAATAATCTTCCAGATGATCATGATGTTGATCTTTAAAGTATACTTTTTTGCAATGTTCTATTTCATCTGGTTCCAATGCAGATTTCTAAACCAAAAATACAAAATAAGCAACATATATTTTATAGATTCGAAAGAATTGTTACTATAATTACCTCAGCCCTAACAATGCCATCAGAAGAAGCAATCGCAATCAGGCATTCTTTACACTTTTCCAAGATCTCCAAACTATCCATCCACTGATAAGTCTCTTTAATATCAATCACCAAACTCTGAATAGTTTCATCGGGATTAAATCCAATAAACAAGTCACTTAATGTAAATTTATCCCGTGAAACAGCGAGCTGCATCGATGTTATAGTTGACATTCTCTTTGCCCAGGAAGTTAATTCCTCAACCAATTCTTCGTGAACGGATGTAAATGTATCTCTCATTGTCATTCTTTGTTTTTCAAATCGGTTTAGGAGTGGCGGATCAGCATCTTTTACTTTTGATTCATCCATTACAAGAATACATCTGAAGTTCTTTGATACGGATCTTTTAAAATATATATCATCCTTAACTTTATTTACATTTAAAAACTTATGAATACGCAAATAAATTATTAAAACTTACAACATTGGGTTTGCATAAGCACCAAGCGCAACTCTGGTATAATATTTTGGATCATCTTTACTACCAACTACGATGTAATTCTGATTCCATAAATCATAAAGACTTCCTATAAACATATTTTTCAAAGGAATTAATTTTTACATGCAGAAATTTAATTACAAATAAGTTGAAAAATTACCATAGATTATATCCAAGTCAGTTAGGATAAGAGGTCTACCAGCCTCCACACACATCTATATTTACAAGACAATCAAATATTAAACGTCAAATGCCAGGAAAAAAAATTCAACATCAATAAAATACTGTACATACCATAATTCTACTCAAAACAGTATATGAATAGTCACTTCCTTGGTCATTTTGATCTTTGGGAAATTGTGATCCAAAAATAACAACCGGTTCCAATTCTCGTTGTCTCAATTGATAAACTAATAAATTAACAATCGAATCACTGTTTCCGATTACCATTAAATGTCTAGCAAACTCATCTTCAAGATTTGCATTAATTAAAAATTCAGTCGATATCGGTTCATAAGTCCAGTTTGGATTTGAATTAAAAATATCTATAACATTTCCAAAATATTTTTTACATATTTCAGAATAATTATTGGTACCGCCAAAATTTCTAGCTAAAGACATTTGTATATTCTTTGGTGTTAGTTCCTGGCTTGAAAGATTTTTAACTAAAGAATAGTAATCTCGAAGTCCATGGAAATTTGGAATTTCTTGTCCAGATTCTGCATATTCTAAGTAGGCAGTTGCTATGTGCCTTACGGAAGATGGCTGCACTTTTGTGGTTGATTCATCATTAAGTAAACGTACTGCTATATCTACAAGATCATCAAGTGTTAATTGCGGTCTGTAATAAATATGTTATGCATTTAAATTAGTACATAGATTGTAAAACACGATAGACAAATTATTTCGTATTTAAAGAATAATATACCTTTGCACTAACAGGGCTCTACTGCTTTTACTATTATCTAATCTCCAATTACTAATTCCAACAACAGAAACAGTTGGTCCTTCAGCAGGATAACTTGGTTCCAGTAGAGAATGAAGAACTTTTAATGGGTTATGAGGACTTGTTTCAGCCAATCCAACTTCATCCAATAATACGACACTGACCACTGGAAAATCATCTGAACTTGTGTCTTGAAACTTTTTGGCTTTTTCAAAGACTTTAATTATGCCATCAGACGTTGATGATGATGATCCTTGATGAGGAATTAAGTATACCTATTTATGATTACAATTATATAGGGTTATATTAATAAATAGGCAATTATTGTTATATCAAATTATGCAATTTATGTACCTGAGGCAGAGTTTTAAAGTATGCATCATTGGAATCCGAACCACGCAAGTTCTGACTTACAAGTCGAATTGCTAATGATTTCGAAGACCTGTAAAATAAGAACAAATTAATAACTTATCCAATAAATTTATTAAAATGTAAAGAGTAATATGCATTAATACCCAGGAGCTCCAATAATAAACACAGGAATTTTGGTGAGAATGCAAACAATCATAACCAGCACATTTTCCAATAATGCATCATTTTTTGCAGTATTAAATGGGAGTGTCATCCTATTAACATAGTCTTCTTGTTCTTTTCTAATCACTTCTCTAAACAACTCCTCTCGAATTGAAAACTTATTCTTTAGAAATATTTTACACATCTCTTTCCTATATTTTGTTCGCTGTTCTTGTTCATATAATCTAGACTGATAACAAAGTCCTAGTCCAAGTATATACGAACGTAAAACTATATTAGGTTTAGTAGGTGGATATGGTACTTCTTTTTTAACCCGAGGCCGGTCTTGTAATGAATTATAAAAGAATTTTATTAAAGTAATAGCTCTTTTAACATCTCTTAAACTAACAGTATACTTTTCTTCAACATCTCGAATAAATTGTTGTGAAGTGAACAATAGATCGGCAAGCATTTCATGATTTAGGTTATTGTCAAGTTGAGTTTTTGTCATAATCTCTATATATTTTCTTTCATCACTTGGTTCTAAAACACCATAATCCCAAACATAATCTAAGATTTGGTCAGGTAATGGTTTTACTTCATAAACTAAATTACTTCTTTGTTCATCAAATCTTTTAATCTGCAATCCTGCAGCGCTTGAACTTTTAATTCTAATTCTATACGGATTGCATGCAGCAAATATTTTAACGTTTGGATGTAACATTTGATTGCCTTTATATACTCTATGAGCTATCAGATCTGCTAAGAGGCCTATATGATTGCATGTATTGATTTCATCAAAGAACAACCAGACTTCATGATGATGAACATTTATCTGAGAGTCTTCCATAAATTGAATGATCATTTCCTCTGTTATGCCAGCATGAAGATTTAAAGCGTGAAATTCCGCTTCAACCACTCTAGCAAGGAAACTAATCAAACTTGTCTATTAATAATTGCAAAAAATTTTATCAGTTAAAACTGTTAGATTCTCACATTGCATCTTGACTATAAAAAACTCTTATGTAGCATTCATACCTTTCCACATCCAGCTTCACCACAAATTACTACAGGTACGTTAGCGCGTGTTCTCAACAAAATCAAAGCCATCTTCAAAAGATTATCAGCTGATAAAGCATAAGGTGGATAATCAATTTTATGATGAGTTTTACGAGCTATACTTTCCAATCTCAGCAACAATAAGTCCATTGGCATTGTTCTATAATCTTCTAATTGCCATTTGTCACTTGCAATATGCTGACTTTTAAGTAAAGTCTGGACATTTTCAAGAACTTTTGCTTTATCACGATATAAAGCACAAATGGAATCTGGTGTTTGAGACATGAAAAACACTAAAAGATGATTGGAATCGTCCCAACTAGTTATGTTTCCTAATTGATCTGGTGAATCTGAAAGTGCTTGCATTTGAGAATTTTTGGTTTGAATTGACCGTGTGGCAAAATCTTTAGAAACATCCATTAAGGTGTTAAACAAAGTTAATCGAATGTTATTTTCTTTGATCATTAACCTTAGATTTTCCACTGTGAAAAATGAACTACATGATAACCGGATCTTTAAAAAATATATATAATTTCAATCAGAATTGTATAGGAATAATAAATCACAACTATAATCTTACCAGTTGATTTGCAAAAACATTAATAAAGATTTCGAGGAATCGATAAGATAAAAGATCAGGGGTAATAGTATTGAAGAAATATTTGGACAATAATTGTTGACATCTTTTAGTAGGAAGAGGCTTATGTGTGGGCTGTCGATAAGCTATTTCACATTCATCCAATGAGGCATTTTCATGTGCATTCAAGTATTGACAAACTACTTGAATTGGACTATAAATCTCATTCGATACGATTAATTGTTTAAAATTGAAACGAAGATGTGGAGAATCTAAATAACTAACTATTGGTAATGATTTTGCCAATCGATTATCCACACTAGAAGCAACTTCGATAAATACGTGGATATCCGGGAGGGTTCCAATATCACTTTGGTGAGAAACAATTCCAAATGTTAATAATTGAAATAAAAACATATTAACTTCCCAGGGATTGTCTGCTGATATAATATTAATATGTAAAGAATCCAAAGTTTTGCGAATCGGGAATTTTTGGAATTGTCTCACCAATTTTCCAAAATCAGCTCCATCATTAATAAGAAATGTACGCGGAATAACCATTTTTCTATAACTTTCTTGTTTGATCCATTCAGTTTTTCCTTGTCCAGATAAATCAGAAGTTACACAGATGACTTTTTCGCATATTGCTCTATACGACTCTTTCATTGATTTAGTGCTTAATCCATTGGTTACGCGAACATCTTCGGAAAATTGATCCAAAATATGGTGATGCATTCCGGGTTCTTGACAACAAATCAAAGCCAAGTAAAAAATTTTGGCTTTATCCAAAAGACTTCGTATTTGTTTAACTACATAATATTGTAACTTATAGTCAAGAACCTCTAGATTAGCCATACAAAAAAGATGATCTTTGTACCCATTGTTTGAAGCAAATGAACATCTCTTGATAAATATTGCTATTTCCTCAGAAGTTGTAGACGGTGTGCAAATTAAGAGTTGCCACGCGTTAGGATAAAATTTACTGTTAGCATATAATGACATTATAATATTAGGTATAACAGATCGATCACTACATGCGGCGACAAATAGCTTTCCGGGATATACAACATCAGAAACTATACGTTCACCACATTCTTCGAAAGGAATAGGATTTTTTGATAGAGAATCAAAAATGTTCTTTAATCTTATTCCAATGTCACAAAGGACTTTGTAATGATGATTTTTAATATTTAGTGCATCTTTAGGATTTCGTATTGGCGGTAATTTTGCTCCAAAATTGACATATCTAACGAGAGTTTCGCAAGTTTTTTCGCAAATTTTTCGATTAGGCCCTTTGCTGTTGCTAAAATAGTCATAAAAGGAAAGAATGTGTCGAGCAGGAAAGAATGTTAAATAGTAGTGTTCTTGCTGGACTTTTGACACTGTGCTTTCCCTAAAGATGTTAAATAATGAATTAAATATGCATTCAATTTCATCTCATTTTCAAATCAGGGATTGTATAAATTCCGTATTCTTACCAAGCTTTCAAATCCTTTTCTAAAGCTTTAAGATGTGAATTCAATTGTTCTAGGCCTGTAACCTCTTTAGAATACTCACGATAATTAAAATGACCAGCCTCGATAAGCTTAGTAAACTCATCAATAATACTTTGTGCTTTGTCAACTTGTAACACAAACTCATTCATTATATCTTTTGATTCTTCCTTATCTCCATATATTGTGGATGCAGGTTTAGCTATTAACAATGCTCGGCCACGTAAATCTTGCAAATCACTCATAGAATATGTCATCTTAGTGCCATTTTTAGATGAATAAGATAGAGTAGCAGAACATACATCATCTTTTGATGTCCATTTAAATTCATAGACACCAATCTTTACTGCATTCTAAAATATTATATATAAAAATTAAACACATAAGATTTCACAATTATTGATTATTAAATAACTGATAAAAACTTACGGAAATCTTTTCCTTGGTTACTTCACCACGATTCGAAATAGCAGCTATATAATATTCAACAATTGAAAATAGTTATACGACAATCAATGATAGTAAACATAAAATAAAATAATAATACTTGTGCGTACCGTACATATTTTGTAATGCCATATTGTTACAATTACACAAAATAATTTTACTGGCTAATGAAGAATTAGTTTCTGCAACATTTCGTATTTCTTTCAAAAATTCTTCCAACGAGAAATTTTCTGCATCTAACATAATTGGTAAAAGGAATTGTTTAACATGAATAAGAGATGACACCGTATCTTCTTGAATAAGTCTTTCATCAGAATGATCGTCTACTCCATTAATCAAATTCTTAATATCATGATCAGCTATTGACCTAAGCCAGTTCAAAAAGTCTCCTGAAAGGGATAACTCCTTAATCAATGCCCAGCATGCATCATCAAGTACTTGAAGTTTTTCATGTAATAGATCAAAAGAATCACATAATCTTCCTAATGTCAAAGTTTCATCGTCTCTCAAGTCACTCAATGTTTCCTCTAACCAACTATCTTCATCTTTATCCTCTTGTATCTTAAAGATGCATACAACCTCAGTAAGTTGTTTTAATTTCTCGATCCATTGAGCAACTTTAGAAATATCAGTTAATGTTCTCAATAATTTTGGACTTCTTTCAATTTTTAATATACCATCCATCAAATCAAGTTCGACAGTGATATCTGGAACTTTGTTCCACAAAATTTTGGCAAATGAAAACTTCTCTGTTTCCCATTTCAAATAAGTCCTACACCAACGACAATAACTTTCATAGACTTTTGGCATTATTTCAACTATCCATTTAACACTTCGCGTATCTTCTTCTTCCTCTTCTATTAGATAACTCAAACAATTCTTGAATGTCTGAGATTTCCTATATTTATATAAATCTTCAGCAATACGCAATATATCAGTGTGCATTCCCCAGTAATCATTCAAAGATGTATCTTTAAGTGTAGTAGCATTCTTGCGTTGATGCATCTCATAAATGTCATCAATATACTCTTTAACATCAAAGACAATAGATTGAGGACAAAATTCAGTATAAAAAGAATTAAGGTAGTCAAGACCTAGTCCATAAATTCGATATTTTTCTCGAATGTTTGTCAGGATATTCTTGTTTATAGAAGGTATAATAGCGAAACCAAAATATGTAAGCAAAAAATTATCATCTTTATTTAAAAGCTCTTGAAGCAAGGAGATACTAATAGATTCTTCACTCAAAATTTCAGTAAGATGAGAAATAGCATTTCGAACTTCATTTATTTGTGGATGTGAGTGTAATTTATCAACACTTCCAGTGGCTTTCAATATTTGAATCCAAAAATTTCCAGAATTAAGTAAAGAAAGGTGAAAATTCTCTGAGAATGTTTGGGAATCGAAAGTAGATTGTAATCGAGTCATGATATGACACAAAATATCTTCGCTAGATCTATAATGGCATAACTGATAAGTTACACTAACTTGCAATTTGCACTGGTCAAATGAAAAATCAATGTATAATTACTATTATACCCTGGTCACTACAGTATATCAAGATCGCAGGGCATAAACCAGTTATACCCCGAGCACTAATGTGCATAAGCGGAATGCTTGTACCAACTATCCAGGATATAACTATTACTTATTTGTCAGCATCCTATGGCATTATTGCCTGCTGAATAGATATTCAACAATTGAATGCCTATTTAGTGAAACCAAAATACCTTTTCGGCAACAAATTGACCCAATCAAAGTATTATTGTACGTTGATTTTTAGCGTTTGACCAGCGTTGTTAGCATTTTTGTTCTTACCTTGTAGGTACTTTCAATTCATCAGTGGAACAATTGCAAATTAATTTGATCTTTGCCATAAGCTGATTATCCGCAATACACATGGATGAATTTAATTTGTCCTTCACCATAGCAATAAATGCTTCTACAACAAGCTCCACTAATTTTTCCACTACTTTATCAACAGTGCTGAAAATAACATCTTCAGAAGTGTGCTTAACACGACTTACTGCAATTTCAAGCAAAGTTTGCCAAACAGGAATTTTACCAATGTAAGGATAAACCTTCGAAATATGACTGAATGCCATAAAAGCAAATTTATCTCTATAATCATTATTATTATCTGAGTTGGAAAAATTTGATGCCCGATCTAATAAATTGCGATACCATTGCTTGCATAAAATTGAAAGTTTCGATTCATCTATTTCCTTAAATGTATTAAATCCAAATTCCAGGAACTCATGAAATTTTGTCAAGAGTCCAAGATCCACACATTGGGAAACAATATCTAGCACTTTGAAATAATCCTCTAAAGGCCACTGAATTTGATCATTTATTAGAAGTTTGAGAATTGCGTCCAAATGATTCCCGTCCCATTTTTGATATTGTTTAGCGGATAATAGATGTAAAGTTCGATCACGAAATATTTCAATAAACATGATTTTGAGTTGTTCAGGTAAATCACTGTAACAATTATAAAGATGAATGCACGAAAGAACATTGCGGCTTAATATATATCGAACACGTTCAACTAAACTCGGCTGTAGTAATTCATCTTTCTCATCATTATGAATGATAATATCTTGCCACACAGTAACAAGAAACTTCATTGTACTGCATTGACGAAACAACCACTATATCAAAACAGAGTTATAGAATCATAAATCATACTTATCACTAGCAACAATTAATAACAACAATAAGTGTAATAAATATAATAATCTTAAGATACCTTGATAATCTTTGCATAAATTTCTTTATCTTCAATTGTACAAA